TGTAATATAAAGGTTCCAAGGCTTTCGTTAATTTCTGTAGTTTTATATCACTTATACGAATCAGGTTTTTAACAGAATTTATAATGATTTCAGGCATAATACTTTTCAATGAAATTCATTACATTTAACATGAATGATCATCTGAATTTTTTTATGTCTATTATGTTTAATTTATTTTTTCCAAAACTCTTTTTTTCCGTAGTTTTATGATATTTACATCGATTAGCTTCGAAGAATCGGTGTTGGTAATTTATCCGCAGAACGTTATCTTTTTCTCAATATACTCTTCTGTGTTCAGATCGTTAGTTCGATTTGTCTACACAAACTTTTTATCAGTGATTCAACGACAACGTTTTATGGATATAACTTATTCTTATCTTTATCCCATATTGGGTTGTTCTATTTTTAGCATACTATCAGCACTTCTATTACTGCTAGTAATGCTTATCAAATAATGAATCCTTGGACCTATCTTCTATATAGTTTGGTCTTCCCTCAATGGATATGGGTATATGCGAGTCACAAAATGATTTATAGAAGCCCCATTTTTCTATTCTTTTACATCTGTGTTCTCATTGTCTAATTTCACATTAATGATTATATTATAATACTAATGATGTTAAATATAAATATTATTATTTATTATTTTTACTTAATTTTTAATTTTAGGAATTAACTAGTTGATTACAATACACTGTATCCAAATATGTTTAATGTGAAAAATACCAAGGCGAATGTTTCTTTTTCCTCTTCCTTTTTTTATTTCCTTCTCCTTCTTTTTTTCAATTTAGAATCAAGGCTGTGCGGAAGGAAGGGGCTGTGTAAAAGGAACTGACTGCATTAAAAAACCCTGAAACTTCATAAGTAGCTATACATCATATTGTTTGCAACACATTAAAAAATTTTATGTGGTAAATAAGATATAAAAAATCACATTTAGAAAATACGTAAACCAAATTCTAGAGATGTAGCTAGAAGTTGATTCTTCAAACATGGAAAAATTTTAACTTTTACCTAAATTTTTTAAGCAAAACTCAAAAATATTCTGTTTAAGAAAGTATAATAAATTTTTCTTCCTTATAAGATTGATTTTGACTTAATGGTCAAAAGTTATGTACGTTAATCACAGAACGGTTATCAATTAATGTCATAAGATGATGCAATATTTATATGTGAAATGAAGCTGATGATGCAATATCAGAGTATTTATGATACTACATAGAGTAGTCGACAATGAAGTCTTAAAACTTCTTGAAATCCTAGACCCCATGCAAAAGTAGGCTACACCTATGACCCCCTTTAATCAAATTTGATGTATATACATGTAAAGTTCAACGTAAGCAATACATAATAAAATAAGGTTTTATTAGAAAACTCATTTCCAGCTTTCTGCAGAATATGTCCAGGAATAACATTTGAAGATTAAAACTATTCGGAACATTATCTTAATGAAGGTGAGTGAAAAAGACTAGGTCCCCTCGAGACCGAAGCCCTGGGACCAGGTACAGTTGAGTGATACCTTGAAATATCAATTTATGGCCCTGAGGCTTCTTGGGACAGGTGCTGAACGGACAGCATTGGGGAGGGGGAAACCCTCCATTGATTAGATTTCATTTGCATGTGATTTTGACAGCCAAGTATTGCTTTCTTTTCAAATCATTTTTTTATCTGCATTGACTCAGTCAAGTCATCTGAGGTGGCACTCTTCTCTCCAAACTTCTACACCAACGTGAGGACTTCAAGTCTCGAAAGATTTAACTTGCATCAACCCCTCTACAAAGGGGGTCTTCAATGCCTTCAGTACTCAAAATTTTTATTCGACAACACAGGTCAAGAATTTGTGACCACGACCACCAAGTTAATAATTGTGCAAGCAAGTGGTCATTATGCACTCACGAAAACGATTAAATGGTAGTAATCAACATATATATATATATATATATATACGCTATATAAGATACACTACCACTCGATCACGAGGCCTTATATATATAAACACTGGGTTCCCATTTTTTTAAACGAAATAACTTTTTTTAAAAAAGAGTGCACTCTATTTTTATAGATTAAAGTTTGATTGATTGAATATATTAACGTCGCACTGTTCAGATGCACGAGGGCTTTTGGCGACGGACCGCGTAATTTTGAACCATGGTCAAGTGACGTGGACGACACCTGAGCAGGCACCTCTTCTCCTAACTACCACACCACACCAACGGGAGAACATTTCAGCTCTCGACAGCTTCTAGATCAAAAGTTTTCGTGAGACAGACATAGAACCTTTCATTATCCTGATATGTTAAAAAGGGCATAATTTATTTCTATACTAACTATCAATTACAGAAATTGTCAAATCTCTTTTATTATCTAAGTGATTATCAAAAAGCATTTCCCTCTCTTACTTATTTGATAATTAATCCGAAGTCCTGGTAACATTACACACACACTTACAAATAAGAATTAGTTTCTTCAATGTTATATGTTTATGTAACGCATTGAAAAATCTTTCAGTACCAGTTCCGTTTGTTAGAATTTCCTCCCTCTTAAACTCTTCTGTTAAAAAAATTCTTATCTTGATTCCAAAATTACCTTACAGCTGAAATAGTCTTAATGGGCTTAAGGCTAACCGTGTTTACATTCGAAAGACTGTGGTAGTAGAGAGTGAGAAGTATTCATGCAAATTAGTACCTTCTATGAATGTGGAATTGATGGCATCTACTAGTTGTTCCCCAGTAATTTAATAACAAATAATTACAGACTGTGAAAGCTATCAACGGCAGTCAGCTAATGAACGTCTTTCGCGATTTATTTTCAGCAATAAAATAGTTCTATGAAGCTTTAGTTCAGTGTAAAGGAAAATTAAACGCATCCGAGCAATCTAAGTATGTATGTGAAGTTGAAGCAATGGTAAGGTTCTCTTAATATTTATTATTCTTTTAAAATATAAAGTCCTTTTTATGTTTGGTTTGCATTTTAAAGTCTGGCGATAAAATTAGTACTAAAGAAGTAGACTTTGCTCTTCATAAAGTTTGTTACAGCCAAATGATCAAGTTCGATTTAAATATTCCTCCAAATTTACTGTCGAAAAATAAAATTTAAGTACTGAAATCGATTGCGATGTTCAAAAGAAAAACTATAAAATACATTATTACAAGGATCATAATAAAATAGAATTCAACTTTATATTTCACAAAATGAAGTAAGAAAATACATTTCAGTTACAGTTCGCGATATCTATGTGGCAATTTAGTTAATGTCTTACTAATAATTACATTTTTTTCTGATTGTTTGAAAGACTAGTTCAGATTAAAGTAAACATATCATTCGATTGTGGGTTTTAGGGAAGATACTATTTTCAACTCTTATGTTGTATTTCAAGTTTCATATTTATTTTTGAATTCATTTCTTATTTTGGTTCGATATATATATAATGAGTTCACAGACGGTTAAATTTAATGTAATTTTATTGTTTAAAAATATTTAGTGACTCGAATTTATAAATTAAATTTTCATTGGCCTGGAATTTTGTATTTGACTTTGTTTTTAAGAGGCAGTAATTCAAAACTTTTATTTCCTGTTCTTCGAAATATCAGTTATAACACAAGAAATAAGTTCTCATATCGGCAAAATTAACTAAAGGTTTTATGAGGTTTCAAAATTCTCCACGCGGGTTCTCATAAACTTACTTAAAAATGTCTTTACTTAAATTTTCTTGAAAGTATATTTATATCAATTACGCCTTTTATCATAAATTTTCACATGCCAATTAATGAGCCAATTCTACTAGTATTTCTGAGGAACCGATAAAATTGTACTTAAATGCAATCACGCGCTCTGTTTTACAAACATCATATAAACAAAACTAACCATTACTCATCCGCTTCGCTGGGTATTTCAAAAGGCATTGTTAGACTATACCTTCTTTTTTCAATTCCTACTATTAGCTCACACTCTCTATATATTTATTTATCTTGGTGGGATTTTCAATCGTTAATAAAATACATTTTAAAGCGCGCAATTTAGCTGAAATTTTATATACATGATTTTATTTCGGATGATAATATAATAATTTATTTATAATTAATAAAAATCCATTGATTAAAACTAATTATTTAAAGAATTACGAATACATCCACGTTGGTATCATTTTTGGTGACTTAGCGACCCTTTTGACGACTTGTGTCAGAACTTGAAAAGGTTTTTTTTCTCACGTTTTATAGCATTCTGTTGAACTGAAATTTAATATACACGATAGTTTTGGATGACAATACCATACTTCAATGACAATTAATAAAAATTAATTACTACCTAATAGTGTGATTCTGTCATATGCTACATATTTACATTAATTGTAACTGTTTAACAAAAAGATGCTAAAATAAAAATTTTCTTTGTTGATTTAAGTAGGCATTGACTTACAAAATTTTCGAAGTTATACTTCTTTTTGGGCGTTAGAGAAATAGGATAAGGGTAAATTTTTATGATGCGCATGCACACCGTTACGGATGTGAAAATGCTTTGTCTAGAAATATACCGAACGGGAAAGATCATTCCCGCCTTCAAACTTCCCCGGAAAGTATTTATCTTCACTTCCCTGAAGAATAGAAAAACGGGTTTGAACCGGGGAGCTTTAGAATTGCAGTCGAACACTTTACCACTGAGCTACACCCCTGCATCAGCTAACCTTTGCTTTGCGTTCCGTAAATGTGGATACGAAAATGCTTTGATTAGAAATTTGCAGAAAGGGACAGGTCATTCCCGCTTTCGAATTTCTAAAAAAAAATGTTTCTCTTAACTTCCCTGAAGATGGGGACACTAGGGTTTGAACCGAAAAATAAAGTCAAATGCTCTACCTCTGAGCTATACCCCCGCATCGGTGAACCTTTGCTTTGCGTTCCTTAGGAACGGATAGGAAAATGCTTTGATTAGAAATTTGCAGAACGGGATAGATCATTCCCGCCTTCGAATTTCTCCAAAAAATATTTCTCCTCACTTCCCTGAAGAGGTGACACCCTGATTCGAACCGGGGACCTCTCGATTAATAGTCGAATGCTCTACCACTGTGCTATACCCGCCGTATCAGCGCACCTTTGCTTTTGCGCTGATTTGTGACGTCACTACTAGTAAGGAGAGATCGTCCTTCACCTACAGAGCTTCTCTGATGCATTTGTTTGAACACTTTTTGTAAAAAAACCAAACATACTTACAGGAAGTTTTTAAAAAATTAGGGTAAACTCCTAGGAGAGCCCACACCCTTTGCGCCAAACCGGAAAAAATGCCAAGCGAACCCGACAATGGTGGCAAGTGAATACAGCGGGATAAGGTGGGTGTGTAATGAAAATATATGTAAACAATACAGAAATTTAACATTTAAGATAAAAAAAAATATAACAACAGCACTTACTTTCTTATTGTTGATCCTTCCCAATTGGAGGTTAAAGTGTTACAACCGATTTTAAAAAATCCTTGAAAGTCTCATCGCTGAGTGAGTGATCGCGTGAGCGCCGCCATATATACTCAGCGAGATAATGGTCGAACATGCCTTCAGCGTGGCTGGTGTGATTACGGAGACAGCGTTTTATTGCCGACCATGTACCCTCAATCAAATTTGTATGAGCACCGGTATCAGGATCCTTAAAACATACGCTATGATTCACCTCCAAATGCTTAAAACCCTCATCTGAAAAACATTTATACGCCTTCCAACAATCAGAAATAATCGTATTTCCAGGCCGGACCCATTCTTTAATCACACACAGCAATTCCTCTTTCGTCCGTCGTTCAACCACTCGAAGAAAACATCTATTCGTTCCTCTTTCTATACCTCCAAACACCCACTTTCCATCCCCTGGCTTGCCTTTTCCATACGTCATTTTCCCAAATTTACTCTCGTCAATTTCAACAATAACATTGACTCCTCCAATTTTTACGCTATCATTCACCACCGCATTCATACAAACCTCTCGACAAAACATAAACCAACCAATAACTGTATTTTTATTCAATTTCAATTCATTCACAACGTAATCATTCATACATCTTCCAAACCACATTTTAGTGTTACCCGCAAAATATAATACATACTTAACTTACTATTGGAAAACCACGTATTCTTTCTTATACTTCTGCAAACATCATGCGTATTCACACCTTCTTTTCGACATCTCCATTCAAATCCATCCAAAACAACACTCTTTCGTTCGTAAAATCCCATTCGCTCATTACATTTAGGGCATTCATAACTTGAAGCAATCAATCCTTCTTTCATACACCGTTCAATCAATTCTTTCTTGCCTCTCGCATTCAATAACGTAAAAAATTTTAAGGTGTATTCACTTACAAACGCAGCCATACTTTCAACCCGGTGCCCAACAACAAAATGAAATTCGAAATGCGCGCCCACAAAATACGAAAATGCTAGAAATAGTTAGGGTTGCCATATGTAGTGTTTAAAAAAGCAAGGTTACCAAGACAGCGCAATTATCGCCAACCAAAATAATTCACGCCAAGGGCGTGGGCTCTCCAAGGAGTGAATCAAAATTAATAAATTAATCTTTAAATTGTGTTTCATGTACATAAAACACAAGAGTAAATATTAGTTTACCTATTTAAATAACAGTTGCAAGTATATGATTATAGATGTATTTACTACGAACGCATTGCGATGAACATAAACACGTTTATTACATTGTATCAAATTATAAGAGCGTTTTGTATTCGTATATTTATTTTTGAAGTTATACTTCTTTTTGGGCGTTAGGGAAAAAGGATGAGAGTAAATTTTTACGATGCGCGCGCATACCTTCACGGCACCGATGCGCACGCGCACACACCGTTGTCTAATATTTTAACATGCCACTTTTTTGGTGCTATGGGACTGATATTTGGGGGATCATAATAACTATTGTTATAAACCATATCTGTTGGGACGCTCCCCCCTCTACAGCCTTTTGGTCAATATCTCGGCACCCAAGCCTCACAGTCCATTCGGACTTGGCTCATTCAATCCTTCTCTACTGCTCTTCCAGTTATTATAATTTCATGCTCATAAGGCTATTTCTTCCATAGTTTCTAACTGTCTTAAACTTTTTAAATTTATTTAAATTCACAATATCTTGGCTCCTGTTCGAGTCTCGGACTTGACATTTGAACCAAGTGTTCCACTCGTCAAGACTCATCCAGTCAGCTGCTTCATTCCCATTGTGTATGCATGGAGAGAGCTTAAGCAATAAAATATCGTGCTCACATGTTAATCCTATGGGGACTGGAAAAGATTTCACCCCCTAAATAGTTGAGCTTAGAACTTGATTTTTGGAGGTCCGCCATATTTTCGTATTAGCGCGAGCTTTACGTGGAATTGGCCCCCTCCCTCCTACAAGGCTTCCTCAGAGATAACTCAAATCCTATGCTACATTTGTCATCCGCACCGGCTGGATTCGATTGTTCTTCCTATTAGCATCCTAAATATATTTTTTAGGACCATATCCCCATTTCTTTACCTACACTTAACATTTTAAAATTATTTTAAAGTTATAATTTTTTAAAAATCCCGCATAGCTTCGAGGATTTTTGAGATTCGTTAATGAACCTCGGACCATTGGTTCTCCTCGTTGAGCTGTTTCATCTGTTATAATTCGTGTGTAGAGGAGGAGGGCGTTATCACTAAAATTAGAATCCCCATGTTATCCCTATGGGGTTATATCTTTTGATGACGTAACGATATTACAGAGATAGAAGCAGAAAACATTGGGATCACCTACTACTCTGTATATCGTTGGGATGTACATGACCATTTACGTCAGAGTTGTTCCCCCGGGGGAGTTAGTTTCGTTTTCCTTTCCCGAGCTAGCGCCTCCCCATTTGCAACTATAGACTCCGGACCGGTTCTAATGGATTCCTCTTGTGTTTTCTCACAAACAGGCCCAGTATTGAGTTGTTGGGTGTCCTGCTTCTATTTTATTTAATTGTTTTAAATGTTTTAATTATTTTAAAATGACCATAACTCGAGGGCTCTTCGGGCGGATGCCTTGATTTTCTCAGGAACGATTCTTTCCGCCGAGACATTCAATATGAGGTGTCAAGAGTCACATTCGGTTCACTTCATCTCCAGATACAGTCTGATACTCCCATGTTATGGGTCCTATTGTCCCTGCGCGGGGGTGTTTAATTTTATTTAAATCGTGATTATCTCAGGTTTGGCTGGTCCGATTGACTGAAGGTTGGTATCATTCAGCTCCTCTAGTGACCACCTTTCGTCCTTGGCCCAACTTGCCCTGCTAAAGAATTTTAGAAAGATTTTAATCTTGTTACGCCAAAGAAGTATAACTTCTTACGTGCGTACATAAGTACACACACACTTTTTAATTTACTTATTTTAGTTATTGTTATTTATGTTCTAGCATATTAACCCTCTAACTGGATACCTTCCTCCTGAAAAGTTATTCCGAAAGCGTTTTACTCTTATATTGCTATTCCCTTCAAAAATGCAACAGACCAATTCTTTCCCCCTTTTAAAACTTGGGAGGTCGAAAGGGGACAACTTTATGACTTGGTTCGGCGTATTTGATCATTGAGAACCACGATAGCAATCGTTTACAGCTAGCTGTTAAGTTGCCTTGGGCAATCTTGTATGAAAACCGTAGTTCTTTCTACTCTGTCGTTTTCCCCATAGATTCAGTCACAGTAAAATTAAAACAAAATGCAGGGTAAAAAAAACATGAAATAAATGGCGTGTTAAAAGTTGAAAAATACTTATATATTCTTCAAACAAAATTTATTTTTCTGTCATTTTTTAAAAATTAAAAAAAAAATATTTTGGTATTGCGATTTGAACCAGAAAAAAGCATCCTGTATTCATTTTTGAATATGAGAGTAAGAAAACGCGCTCACTTTCATGTTTTTAAAAAAGGTTATGAGGTAAAAAGAGTAAAGGCCCTATCTTTTTTTTTAAACAATAAGATATAAATGGTGCATATTTATGAAATAAAACAGATCTTTCTCTATTCAATTATATTTTTAATTTAGAAGAACATAAAAAATGATTTCAATACTTTTAATTTATTTAAATTTAAATCATATAAATGATATTTTTATGTTAACTGAATATTTTTCGGAAAAAATCTAAATTTTCATTCCTAGTGCTCTCCTTTTCGAAGTCCTTGTATTAAATAAAAATATCTTTTCTACATCGGCATTTGTGATGGACATAACACACATTCAGTCAATAATTTTTAATTTTAATGGGGGATATACTTCTTCAAATGCGCATGACAGTACTTCTAACCATTTTCTACTCAAGTTAAATTTCTTATCTTTATGTTTCTTTTATTGCAAGGAAAAATGTCACACATCGATAACTACATTTTCACACAATTCAGTCATTACAAATTCTATTGTGAGAAAAGTTCTCCCTAATTAATTTTGTCTTTCAAAACAGTACACTTAAAACAATTTTGTTCAGTGAAGTTAACCGACAGTTCCACAATGTATTCATACCAAATTTTAAAAAACAAATTTAACACTTGGAAATGTATCCAGTATTAAATTTTTCAGTATACACAAATATTTCCTGCTGTAGGGAAGATATAGTATGAGAGATGTGGTGTGCGGTTGTGAAAGAATGTTTTCGTACGTGTAGACTATTTTTGAAAATTTAAATATCACTGAAGCTGATCATATAACTGCAAATGAGCCTTATTTTAATGTGTGCTGGTATCAAAGTAAAACACTTTACAATATTAAACAGCCTATGGGTTTATACTCAATATCAAACTATTCGCAAAATGGCTTACAACTTCTATTCAAATTGTAAAGAAACTGAAATATAAATATATCTTACTGCAGTCAAAAATATTCATATGTATAAGTATCCTATTTCTCCACTTATTTCTGTACATTTTAAAAACTGTAGCTGAATGCAATTTTTTATATTTATAAACGAGGCATAACAGCTCACATACTCGTAAAAATGTTTTTATCATTTTTAAATATACTACTATAAAACGTATATGGATTGTAAGATCAGTTGTAAAATCCTAAAAGCTTTTAGAGGAGCTAGAAACGTAATTTTGGA